GATGCGAGTCTAAGAATCGCAGGGATATAAATTCTCTCTCTTTTTTTTTTTTTTTTTTTTTTTTTTTTTTTTTTTTTTTTCAGCAAAAGAATTTATATATAAATCGTGTAGATAAATCGAATGAATAAATTCGGTCAAGTGGAAACTTATGCCGTCTATATATATGATGTAGCGGATGCGTGAAGCAACGTAACGTTCCCTGCGGACATAAACACGTGCAGTAAACGCGAAAAGAAATTTAACGAGGTTTTTCGAGCGAAGAAAATCGAACCGTATACAATCGACATTGTGCGACAAATTCCGAAGGAAAAGGTAGCGGATACAAAATGATGAGTATTATATATAGATATATAAAATAAAAAAGTAACGAATAAACGAGTGTATTTACGGTTCGATCTTCGTACTACTTATTTCTCCCTTCATATCCCCCTCTTCCGCTGTTTTTTTTTCCCTTCCGCGCGCGCGATGTCTCCCTCGCGGATCGATCTATAAAAAGCAACGCGAGATGAATAAACGTTGCGCGCGCTCACACTTAAAGACGAATCAAAATGAAAACCGCGACAGCTAGATCTCTTTTTCCTTTGCATGACTTTTTCACGACGTAAGACTCGTTTTCACGTTTTGTCTCTTTGTTTCTCTCACTTCAGATGGACACGCCGGTGCAGCCAAACCCGATCGGAACGTACATCGGTTCACCAAATCACACCACGAATTACACACAGGTGACAAAAAAAACAAAACAAAAAAAAGAAAAACTCAACTTTTTCTGTGATGTAATTGGTTGAATTGTGTCGGTACAAAAATATTCTCGAAGAGAGAAACTTCGATTAAGCGTTCCATTTTCACGGACGCACATTTGCATTTGGCGCGTATCTTTGTTTACCGAAACTTTAACGTTGTTTATTTCTCAGAGCGACATGATCAATGTCGGGAGCGAATTAGGCAGCGGGGATGCGGGCTACTTCAGCACGAGTCCACAAATAGCGTATCAACCCGCGACAACGACTACCACCGCCACTCAACAGCTCACGCCCCAAACACCGAATACACCTACGATTATTCTCACAGGTATTTCCCCGATATTGGGTGTGTCTGCGGGCGATAAAATTTTTAACAACGTTTTTGGTTTACATGAAAGATACTCGAAATACAAAATATCTCATTTGTTCTATCCGTTCTCGCGAATATCTCTTTTTTAATTTTATTTCTGTGCGCAATGGCATTTCAATTGGTTTTATTCACAAAACACGTAATAAAAAAAATTGTATTCACGATGTGGGCAAATTTTATACGTTTATAGAAACTGTCGCTTAAATATGTAAATGCAACTTATATATTGAAAAAAAAAATGCATAATTTGGAAATAGTTTAAAACAGAAAAATTAATTATTAATATTGGATAAAAAAAACAACATTCTCTGTTGCAGACTTCTCTGGTGCGGACGATCTTACAAATCCAGAATTCGTGAAAGACCTCGGAACAGCAATGATGGGCGATTTTGACCCAGAAATGTTCCCATCGGACGAAGCTCTTAGACAAGGTCTTGATCCGATAGACATGGATGGTTTACAGATGCTCGACGATCCGACGATGGTCATATCGGATCAAGCCGAAGCCCATTTTAGGTTAAATCGACTCTAAGGGAAAAGATTTTACTTATTACCAACATGCCCGTATCGACTACTGTTTAGGATAAAATTAATTCTGTCCTAGTGTCGCGATTAATTAAAGAGACACTTTGACATGGGGCACCACTTCTTGGGCACTGGCAGATTTGCAAGAAAAAAATCGCGCGTCAATATATATATATTATATAAAACGTATATTTGCGTATGTAAATAAAAAAAATTTATAAATTCTTATTTATAGCGTATATAAAAAAAAAAGAAAAAATTTTACATGAATTTACGCGAGCAATTTTTTATGTCATAACGAAACTATTCTACATTTCTTTAACTTTCACGTCGTGTGCATAATAAATGCTCTATAGGATCAGTATGTTGTTTTTTTATACGGAAATAGTGTACTTGCGCGTACGAAGAACTTTCGATACTGTTTCTGTAAAGAGAAGTCTAAGTCAGTGGTCAATGAAAGTTGTCTCCCACTCGTGATAAAAACCGTTACTTGACGACGATTATAAGTAATATATAAATCTTTATTAATCTCCTTTTTTTTTTATTTTACACTACTTTGTATATTGTATCATGTATGATCTCTATGAAGCACAAAAAAGAAAAAAAACGTTTACTGATTTATACATGCTTTTATCATAATACAATTATAGCGGAGTAAAAACCTTACCGTTTTAGGCCAATTTAAAGTTTAGGAGAAAATGATCGATCGCGCTTCTCTCACGACGGAGAAGCATTTAAAACGCATAAAGACATAGAAGTGAGAGAGGAGGGAGATGCCTATCGGCGGTACACGCCAGCGTAGCATTGTAGATGTTTACTTTTTTTTTTTTCCTCATTATATACATCCTCACTCGAGCAACTTCTGCAATTCTGCATTTATCATTTCCTAAAGAATGGGTCATTACAGTTTTTTCTCCATCTTTGTCACACACATAGAGTATTAACGTATTAACTCTTCTTGTCGCTGAATATATACATAGTGTGATGATATACAAAAGAGTAGGAAGAAAAAAGAAAAAAAATTGTCCTACGCGTGTACCCTCGACGGTTGTCAATTGTTTTTTGAAAGTAATTTACTATACTTTATATATATTTTTTCGATAAAACCGATCAAGCGCGAAGTTAAGCTAATTGATGATTAATCGCATCAAACAACAACACAAGATGATCTTTGTATCTGTAAACACATCGTAAGTAGCGTACCCACACTTTTCTCGATAACATTCGAATTTCTCTCATTCTAGTTGCAGGCGTAATGTGTAAGCGATTAATGTTTACGGAATTATATCAGGCTATAATGTTCCGATAAAAAAAAAAAAAAAAAAAAAAAAAAAAAAAAAAAAAAACACAACGTGTCAGAATAATCCACGGAATAG